GATAGCGCCACCTAAAATAATGCTCAACATTCTTTCATGCTTAACGTATACACACTTATTTTTGACTAGAATATGTACGTGCACCCAGCCAATAACATTTCTATTAGGGTGATTAGAGCTAAAGAAATTTTCACCCACATTTTTAGTTCTACAGAACCAAAAGGGCGTATTTCTGATACGCTCTTTTGGCATTTTACTAACGAGATATATTAATCAACATACACATTTTTAAAAAAATAAATAATTGAAAAATTATAATAAATTATCCATTCATTTTTATCTCTAGTCTGATATGACTCAATGAATTCATGCATGAAAAATTTTTTTACAGGTTGTTTTAATTCATTGAATTGTAATATAATGTCACTATAAATGTTTAGAATAACAGAAGAATTATTATTTTTAATGTGAAAAGGCGTTCAAAATTGAGTAATTTAAACCATACTTATTCAGATCTAAGTATTTTAAAGAAATCTTAACAACTTCCAGTAAAACACTTCCGATGAAGTCATACTTGCTTAAATCTGGTAAAAGACATGAGAATGGTAATAAGCGATAGTGTCTTAACCAACATTATTTCTAAATTTTGTAGATACATAGCATATTTGGTTCACAAATGTTTCTTGACTATAAATACAATATCAAAATATTTTTTCACAAATGTTGATTGACGTTATTGTTCACGACTATCCACACACAATAAAAAATTTTACGTCATTACGTCAGAAAAAATTGGTGTCAAAAAATTTTGTGACGCAAAAACGCAAAATTTTTTACTGTCTAGAATGATAGGGGAGGAAGGCGTCAATTAAACCAAAAAAAGTTTAGAAATTTTATCATTATAAAAATCCTGCGATCAACTAAACTGTCATCCTGAAATCATTCGAATAAAAGATACGATAGTTATTTCGGTGAATTTAAACCTATTGTAAATTATCTTCGGTAATACCTTTCCCAAGTAAAAGAAATATTTAGTAAATAATACCACGTGCTTTGTGAATAATAATAAACAGTAATAAACGTAAAGAGAAATTCTCGTTAAACATTTTCAAGACTCTAAAAATTATTATTTAATACTTAATCACACATAGGTAGTTTATGATTAGTAAAAGAATAAAATATATTTATATAATTTGAAATTAACTTAAAATCTTATTCAATGCAAACCGAAAATTAATTAAAATCGCTGTTAGAACTATGAATAATTCCAGTCAGTTAAATAGTCTTTACTTAATTATATCAGTCATTAACATTGAGTATTTTGAATAAAAGTAATTCATAAAACGAATTTATGGTATTGAAAATCATTTATCTCCAGTACTTTCCCTTTTTCTACCTGCATCAAGGCAGCACGAGCCAGCGGGTAGACAGCTTTTCATCGCACATTTTTATTGTCCAAAAACCAGGTATAATTTGTTACTTTCTTTACGTAAACATAACCACCTGGTCTAATTGATATTGATAAAAGAGTGAATTATAAGTATTAATTAATTTCAAATCATTGCTTATCGGCCATCTCTTGACAAATTACAGTATCTCGCGTACTCGATTAAAATACCTATTGGCGAGGTTCCCGCCACCCTGAACGAAGGCTTTCAGTAGCTAGTTCTAAAATTCGGAACCTAATAAACATAGTTATTGTGTTTGCGTCACTCTGGACGTAACACGACTTGACCGATTTCATCGCGGTTGGTGTCATTCAAAAGGGCTTCACTAAATTTAGATTTCCTGAAAATTTGAACCGATTCGGACCGGTAGATTTCGAGAAAATGCAAAAAGAGTGAAAAAAAAGTAAAAAAAAAAAAGTTGTTTTTTTTTTATTTTTTTTAAATATCTCCGAATTGGCTGAACCGATCGGTCTCAAAAACTAATCAGCTCTTAACCTTGAAAACCCCCATCGATCGCCACCAAAAATGTTAGAATCGGTTGATGCGTTCGTGAGATATCGTTGTCAAAAAAAACGAAAAAAGTGTTTTTTTGTAATAACTTCGAAATTCATGGCTCGATCGATTTAAACTTGAAAATTTTTCATGGAGCTTCAAAAACTGCGTCGATTGCCGCCAACCGCGTGAAAATCGGTTCATTCATTCAAAAGTTATTGCCGTTTGAAAATTCAAAAAATTGTGTCTTTAAACTGCTATTAGAGTTTTGAGCTCAAAGAGCTCAAATTGACACAAAAATAATATTTTTGAGCTCGAAGAGCTCAAAAACATAATGTGTAGTTTGAAGCGTTCAAGTACAAAATGAGTGGGAAGTTGCAGGGATGGCCTTTAGGGTGAACCGTTTTTCTAATTTTTTTTGTTTAATTTGTTTAAAGTCGCATAAACTACTAAGGTCATGAGCAACTACGGTAGGGGGTAAACTTTTGAGATTGGAACTCGTTTGTATTTCTTGGGCTGAGCAGAATAATATACTTAAATATTGAAAATATTCATTGGTGTACGCCGGATTCGAACCCGGTCCAATGCTTTGGTAGCAAGGGCCGGATCCGATAGGCTACTGCACGCCTTAGCAACCACTTTATTTCGATTTTATATACATACATACATATACACATCGCCTTTATATATATAGAGAATACATAGATACATTTCACAACAGCACTTCTATACAAATGCAGTGATATTGAATGCAGTTTCGGATACACTCAGCCATTGAACCATAGTTCATTGTATTCTAATATATTGATTTAAGTGAGAGCTCCAGTAGTAGTAGAAAGTTTCTCGTCCAGAAATAGTTTCATTCAATAAAACCGAAGCATGGAGACTAACATCCCGTAATAATGTCTATCGACCAACTCTTAGTATTCACGACCACCAGTAAAGGTAACTTTTCATTTTTATTCATAGTACATTGAACTAAACCGTGAAATTTCGTGAATTATCTGCACACTTGACCCGTGAAAAATTATTATTATTTTAGTGACGAACTTTTTTTCATCATTAGAGTGAATTCTATATTGTATAGGCTATACTATCAATAATTTTAGTTTTAAACTTGCCGAACGAAGGGGTATTCAATAGAGCCATCAAATAACCTTCGAGATAACTCTTCCGGCATGATCGCTCGCGGGCGAGCGCGCTAATGGAGTTTCCATCGACTAGGTTGCATACGTGCAGGCTGATGATCAGACACGATGCATCTACATGCATAGAGAGCGAATTCAACCGAGAAGAACGTTAACGTTAACTCTGGAGGGAAGCATCAGACACAGTAGGAGGACATAAACTTTATAGAGTTGAAGCGTTGGAAAACGTAGACCACTTTGCCGGCTGGCCCCCTGCCAACTCCAATCCTTGCACAAGTCCGCTAAACCGTTTGAATGCCGAGCACACCTGCGCGACTTTCAGTATTAACAGATTATACAGTAGGCATTTGTTTAAATTTCTTCAACGTGTATGTACGAATCTGAGCTCGCAGTTCAGGAATTAAAATTTTTACTCATTAGTATGTCTATGCAGATTATACAGCGACCCATGAAAAAATTTTCTGATCTCGCCATATGTGGCCTGATCTACCCATGTCCATATATGGTCAAATCAGGCTTAATATAGGCAGTACCTGGATGACCGAGCTTTGCTCGGTATTTTTAACTTCTTGCTAAGAAAATTGAAAAAAAAATGATTTTATCCCGTTTTTCGAAAATCGAATTCTCATCCGATCTATCTGACGTTTTAAGGTGCTCGGAAGCTTCCCTGAATGTTTCCGCGATGATGTCCGTATTTCTGTAGGCGCCATTCGAAGGGGCTTTACCAAACTTAGATTTTGAATACAATTTACTCTCTTGAAAGAAATCAGTGGAATTTCACTGGTTCGCCAGTTGAATTTCACTGATTCCAACCAGTGAATGCAATTTCACTGGTGAATCAGTGAAGTTCACTGGTTGAATCAGTGAACAAAATATCTGCGTATGCGCGCTGTTATATCCACTGGTTAAATCAGTGGAAATCCACTGATTCACCAGTAAAATTGCATTCACTGGTTGGAATCAGTGGAATTGCACTGATTTCTTTTAAGAGAGTAGATTGATTCAAACTCATTTTTTGAGTTTGAGAAATCTCAAGAAAATCTACTCAAAAAGATTTTTTCAAATGTGGTTTTTTAGAATAACTTTTCAACGGCTCTACCGATCGATTCCAAAAACTAATCAGCTATTTACAAAACAAAAATAAACCACGTCGATCACCGTCATTCCGGTAGAAACCGGTTAATTTGATCGTGAGTTATCGTTGTCGAAGGAAAACCGAAAAAAGTGTTTTTTCGGAATTACTTCGAAATTCCTAGTTCGATCAATTAAAACTTAAAGATTCTTTGTGAGACTTAAGAAACTGCATCGAATGTCGCCAACCGTGTGAAAATCGGTTCATTCATTCAAAAGTTATTGAAGTTTGAAAATTCAAAAAATAGTGTTTTATTAAACTTCTATCAAATTTTTGAGCTTGGAGAACTCAAAATGACACGAATATAATATTTCTGAGGTCGAAGAGCTCAGAAACGTAATAAGTGCAATTTTAAGCGCTGAAGTATAACATTAGCGAGAAGTTGCAGGGATGGTCTTTATGGTCAACCGTTTTCCTAATTTTTTTTTTATAAATCACCTGAAAACACGGATAAAATGACATTTTCTAGAAATGAATCCTAGCTAGATCGATTTATCGTCCCCAAAACTCTCTGCATACTAAATTTCATGAAAATCGTTGGAGCCGTTTCCGAGATCCTAATTATATATATACAAGAATTGCTCGTTTGGATATAAGATAAAGGCAATTTGTGGACAGTTTCAGAAACTAAAATAAATTTTAAAGTAAACATGTTTTCAAAAAGTTTGGAAAATCCAAAAGTGCACGACTCATAATGGTCATTTAATAATAAAATATTAAAAAAAAAAAAAAAAAAAAAAAAAAAAAGTCGTTCAAAATTAGTTGCCGAAAAAACAGCTGTACTAGGAAGGTACTGCACAAGCGCCTCTGGTGGAATAAATGTACATAATATCTATAGATATGTCACCATCCATGTTAATTTTACATGGATATATATAGATATACAGTCTTGTAGTTTTCGTTTTTTATTAATTGTAATTAAACGACACTGAATTAATTAATCATTCGCATTCAGTGACCTACAATCATCGATTAGAATTTAAAAAAAAAAAATTTAACTC